CGCTCAGCCAATGAGCGAACCGGCCATCCCTATATGGGATCCGAACCCGTGGCCTTGGTGTTATCAGCACCGCACTCTCCCGAGTGAGCCACAGGCCGGCCCTCTAATTTTTTTTAATATCATCAAATATCCAGTCAGTGTTCAACTTTGCACAGGTGTCTAATATTTTTGTACAGTTTGTTGTGTCTGAACAGGGTCTTGATAAAGTCTCCATACATTGCAAATGATTGAAAAGTATGTTAAGTTTCTTTACCTATAGGTTCCTCCTCTCTCTTTTTTCCCCTTGAAATTTACCTGTAGAAGAAATTAGGTCTTTTATCTGTGGAGTTTCCCATAATCTGGATTTGCTGATTGCATCTGTTAATCAGATTTAGACTTGATTGTCAAGGAAAAATACTTCATGAGTAGTAATGATTTCAGATCTTTTATTTGCTTTTTTAAAATTTCTATTCTCTCTCTCTCATTGTTTACTATGGTGTCTGTTTCCTTGTTCTTTGTAGTTCAGTCTTTTTGTCACTACAGTTGTGCTTTCTCTAATTTTTTATAAGTGAAATCACATAGTATAGAGTCATTTGTATCTGGTTTCTTTCACTTAGAATAAAGCTTTTTGAGATGCATGTATCAGTCGGCCATTTTCATTGTATTGCTAAGTAGTATTCCATTGATGATATACCACAATTTGTTTACCCATTTACCAGTTGTTATTTGGTGTTACTTCCAGTTTATCTTTTATGACTAAAGCTGCTGTGAGCATTCATGTACAAATCTTTGTGATGTATGTTTCTGATTTTCCTGAGTAAATAACTAGGAATGGTATTATTGAGTCATATGGTGTGTGTGAGAGTTCCAGCTGTTCCACATCCTCACCAATTTTAGCCATTCTTGTAGGTGTGTGGTAGTGTCTCATTTTAATTTGCCTTTTCTTATTGACCACTAATGTTGAGCATTTTTTTCATAAGCATATTGGCCATTCTTATACCCTTTGCTGAAGTAGCTGCTCACAACTTGTGGGGTTTTTTGTTTATTTTTTTGTTTGTTTTTGGATTGTCTTAATATTGACTTGTAAAACTTCTTTATATATTTTAGATACAAGTCCTTTGTCAGATATATGTCTTGCAAATCTTTTTTCTCAGTCTATGGCTTGCCTTTCTTTTCTTTTTTTCTTTCTTTTTTTTTTTTGTCTTTTTCGCGACCAGTAAGGGGATCGCAACCCCTGGCTTGGTGTCTCCCGCACCGCGCTCAGCCAGTGAGTGCACCGGCCAGCCCCATATAGGATCCGAACCCGCAGAGGGAGCGTCGCTGCGCTCCCAGCACCGCACTCTCCCGAGTGCGCCACGGGGCCGGCCCTTGCCTTTATTTTCTTAATAGTGTCTATCAAAAAACAAAAGTTTCGTATTGTTTTGTTTTTTATGGCTTATGCTTTTTGTGTTCATGGTTGCAAAGTTTTTTTTTCTATATTTTTTAATATAAATGTTATAGTTTTAGCTATTAGATTTAATTTTACAATCCATTTTGAAATAACTTAAATACAGTGTGAAGTAAGAGGTAAACTTTTTTTCCATAGTAAGTCTTGAAATCAGATAGTATAATGTCTTTCCAGCTTTGTTCTTCTTTTTCAAAAATTATTTTGGCTATCCTAGGTTTTTTGCGTAGCCCCGTAAATTTAAGAATCAGCTTGTCAGTTTCTACAAAAAGGTCTGCTGAGATTTTTATTGGGATTGCAGTGAATATATAGATCAATTTGGAGAAAAATTGACACCTAAACAATATTGAGTCTTCTAACCATCAACATGATATATCTTTCCCTTTATTTAGATCTTTAATTTCTTTCTGTAGTGTTTTATAATTTTTCATGTAAAAATCTTGTATATCTTATGTCAGATTTAAGTATTTTATATTTTTGATGTTAAAGTAAACAGTATTTTTTATTTAGATTGTTGCTATTATATAGAAATAGAATCGATTTTTGTAGATTGCTTATGATTTTCTACATAGACAAATCATGTTACCTGTGAATAGAGACAGTTTCATTTTTTCCTATTCAATCTTATGCCTATCATTTATTTTTCTTGCCCAATTGTACTAATGAGGACCTCTAGTAAATGTTGGGAAAGAAAAATGTTCTAATTCTTTGGGGAAAAACATTCCACCTTTTACCATTAAGTACAGTGTTAGCTGTAGGTTTTTTTAGTCTATTAATATGATGGATTACATCAACTGATTTTTTTCAAATGTTAAACTAACCTTGCATTCCTGGAATAAATCCTACCTGATCAGGATATATTATCTTTTTTATGTATTGCTGGATTTTATTGGCTAAAATTTTGTTGAATATTTTTGCATCTATATTCATTATATAGTTTAGTCTTTATTTTGGACATGATTTATTGTTGTTATTACTATTTACTTTTCCTGAGTTTGATTAGCTCCCTTTCACCTTTTTCTCTTGTCTCACCCTCACCTTACATTGTCTGGTCATCTCTTCCCCCGGTGCTTCCTTTACTGTTTCATGTTCATCCTTGGTAGCTGCAGTTGCTTCACTAAGTTTTGTGTTCTTAATTTCATATATAAATGTTTCATAATTTCATTTGTTTTTAGAGAAAATTATCTTCAAATATGTTTTGTTTATTATTAAGAAAGTGGTACTGCTTTCTTTCTACTTTTTTATAATAGCGTCTTTGAATACTTGCTGTGTTTCTACTGTTTTGATACTCATATTTGAATGAGTTGCAATTTGCAGGACTAGCTATCAGCAGGAGGTTCTTGTAGAAGAGGAAGGTAGGCCAGGTAGTTTTTTAGGCTTTGCTGCTCAAGAATTTTCTCTTCTTTACTATGGTATTTTCACAACTCTTTTGCCCCTCAGTACCTAACTTGATTCAAGAGGGCTTTTTATTCCTCCTGGACTCTACAGATTCCTTTACTGGTCTCTGTTTCCAAGCCCTGTCTTCCAAGAAACCCTGTCTTCCAAGAAACCCTGTCTTCCAAGGTGTTTATTTCTTCTTTAAAACGTGGTGCTTTTTGAGCTCTTTCACCTCCAGGGCCCCCCTTGGGGATTTTCCACCTTCTTTTATTACTTTGTTCATATGTTGCTCCCTGTGTGATCTTAGTCCTACTCACTGCAGTTTATGGAAGAGAATGGGGTTCTCTTCTGAGAGTGGATATTTATGGTCAGTCTCTGGGACCTACTACTGCTAGTTTCCTCTGAACTCCCTGTGCCTCCCTACTGCACCACTGGAGTGTCTCTCACCAGTTCTGCTGGTCTTGTATGCTTTGGCCACAGTAACATATAATTTGGAGTTTGCGAGTGTTCTCTGATTTGTAGTTTTGCAGAAGGTGAAGTTATAGGTTTGTAGGGATTTTTTTCCCTTGTTTCTTCTATATTGTTTTCAAGAAGAGCAATTGGGAGATTTGGAACTATACTTCTGCCATGTTTCTATCTCAGTATTGACTTATGTCAGAGTTTTGCTGACCATGAAAGCAAGATCAAAAGACCAAAATGGTTTTTTGACCTATAAATGTTACCTCGGAATGAGTGATATGAATTCTCAGGATCATTTCATTATTACTCCTTAGTTATTTTATAAATATCACAGTGTCATCTTCCTGAGGCTATTTAGAACACAAATTCAATATAAATTTGTATCATTCATTTTTCTGTTATACTTCTGGGCCTACCTTTTTCTTCCTGCTCCATCTTTAAAAAGTTTTCTTCTCATGTTTCTTAGACTATCTGCCATTCTGCATATGTTTTTGTTTTCGTTTTTTATGTAACTTCACACTCAGGCTGAGTTCTGCATCTCTTTACCTTCTTGTATTACTATTAAACAGGCTTTCTTTGAGAAGTCAAGCTGGTGTGTATCCACTGCCTGCCTTAGGATTAGAAAGTGGCTATATTTGGGTCTATAACTTATCCTAAGTGACTTGGAATGTATATTCCAGTCAATTCTGCTTTAATTAGACTCTTTCCCAGTGATTGTGTCCTATGTTAGTGAAAAAAAGAGAAAGAAATGAGAGTTACCAGTGAATAAGCCTCTGGACTGATTAGGCAGGTTATCAAGCTAGTGAAATAATATCGATTTACTGTACTTTTCTAATAGAATGAAAATTCTTAAATCTTTCTCCCAAAGATTATCTAAGGAAAGATTTATTTTAAAAAAAACCAACTAATCAAACCTGTCCCTCTAGTGATATGATAAACAGAAGAAACTTAGAATCATAGCACTAACAAAGCAATTCTGGGCTTATGAATATTTTCTCCTTCCTGAAATCTGTTTAATGGAAAACAGTCAAAGGTTATGTTATAACCAGTGTTATATAGCAAGTCAGAATTGAGCACTTTGCTTCCTGTTATTTCTTCCATCTAATTGTATTAAAAGTTATGTTTCTCTCAAATGGAGTAAAAAGCCATTGAAACCCCAAGATGTGGCTAAATGCTGCCTCTAGATCAGCTTCTGTGATTTCTTCATCCTCTTTTCTAGCTTTGGTGTCATCCCCAGCACTCCTCTGGCCATCCATACACCACTGATGCCAAACCAGAGCATTGATGTCTCCCTTCCTCTCAACACCTTGGGTCCAGTAATGAAGATGGAACCTCTGAATAACCTGCAGGTCAGAGTTTAACTTCACTTGGGTGGTACAAGTTGATATCTTGCCAGTTTTTCATTTATATGTGAAACACCCCCTCTCTCTTCCTTACAGTAGAGTTGGTCGTTTGAAATAACTCTTTGTGGAGAAGAGTTTTATTTTGTTTTGTTTTTAAGAAAAACAGAAGTCACCCATTAACATAGAAAATGATTCATTCTTTTACTCAACAATATTTAGAAATATTTTCTTAAGTTCTTATTTACAAACTTTTTCCCTCAAGACTTTCATAGCAAAATCTGAATGTTATTTATATAAGAATAGACTTCAGAGGAGATATATTTGGAGTTTATCTTTGAACACTGGACCACAAACAGCTAGGCTATTTGGATTTAAATGTCCCCTTTTAGCACATATCTATGGCAAGCATAGCAGCATCTTAAAGGAGCAGAGAACAACTTTATCCAGTCTACAAGAGCCTCCTAGTCTTTTTTAGAATGCTTAGGTGCTAGCTTAGATTTTCGTTCAGTTTTCATCTATCTTGAATTTCTTTCTGAAATATAACCTTTCGGGATTCAAGAGACATGAAGGCAGAGCAGTAAGCTCATAAGCTGAAGCTGTAGTAGCCCTGAAGGGGTATTAGTAAAGATATAAGCCCTAGAGTTTGTGGTTTTAATGCTAAGGAGGATAGGAGAAACAGCCTTGGGCCAACCTCAGATGGGGAACTGTAATTGATCGCTGTGTAAAGCTGAAGCCATGGAAGGCAACTCCCTCAACGAAGGGGAAACAAAAATGATTCCACTATCCCAGAAAAGTGACAAAGATAGTTTCTCTCATTGAGCAGGGTTCTAGGTGGTCTCTGTTGTGAGGCTGTCACTCTGAAAAGGAACCAGAACACCCAATTGAGAATTTAAAAAGAGGGGTGTTTAGGGCTGGCCCGGTGGCGCACTGGAGAGTGCGCTGCTTGGGAGCGTGGCGGCGCTCCCGCTGAGGGTTCGGATCCCATGTGGAGACCGGTTCCCGCTCACTGGCTGAGCGCGGGGCGGGCGCAACACCGAGGGTTGCGATCCCGTTACCGGTCAGTAAAAAAGACAAAAAGGGAAGAAAAAAAAAAAAAGAGGGGTGTTTAGGGCTGGCCCGGTGGCGCACTGGAGAGTGCGCTGCTTGGGAGCGTGGCGGCGCTCCCGCTGAGGGTTCGGATCCCATGTGGAGACCGGTTCCCGCTCACTGGCTGAGCGCGGGGCGGGCGCAACACCGAGGGTTGCGATCCCGTTACCGGTCAGTAAAAAAGACAAAAAGGGAAGAAAAAAAAAAAAAGAGGGGTGTTTAGGGCTGGCCCGGTGGCGCACTGGAGAGTGCGCTGCTTGGGAGCGTGGCGGCGCTCCCGCTGAGGGTTCGGATCCCATGTGGAGACCGGTTCCCGCTCACTGGCTGAGCGCGGGGCGGGCGCAACACCGAGGGTTGCGATCCCGTTACCGGTCAGTAAAAAAGAAAAAAAGGGAAGAAAAAAAAAAAAAAGAGGGGTGTTTATTAGCCGGCCGACAACTGCTTCCCCAGATATTCTGGTAAGAAAGCAGCCCCGAGTCTAAGTTTAAGGGGCCTTTTGAAGGCAAAAAGTCACATAGTCAGACAGGCAAAATTATCATATAGTCACACACATTTCCTCCTGGTGTGTGTGTGGGGCGGGGGCGGGGGTTGGCGAGGCCTAGCACAAGTTGGTTACAGAAGCCAAGATAAGCCAGTTAATCACTCAGGGACACCTAGGTTGTCTGGATACATCCAGATACAGCTCTTGGTTTTATCAGCCAGGAACAGCATAGGCGGGAAACAGCAGAATTTTAAATTGTTCTAAGTACAGGATAATTTTTAACTTCTAATTTCTACTAGGAATACTGGGGGGTTTTCAAACAAAAGCACTTTTCAAATAGTAAAAATGGCATAAGCTAAATCAATCTACCTTGTCACAGCCTCTTGTGAGAAATGCAAGGCCCAGTCTGTGCCATACATGAGTGTATCATCCAAATTTGTATTAGTTATGTAGGTGTAGTAATCTCCAAATCAATAAATTAATATAAAATTGGTCTAGGAGTGGTGAAACCTAGGGTATCTGGCAGAAGAAAATGCAAAGTAGCCCTTTAGCAACATTTCTAAAATTTAGGGCCATTAGAACTACCAACTGAAAAGAAAATCTCTACTGATATCTCTCAATTGAACAAAAAAAGAAGGAGGAAAGATGTATTGTGAAGGACAGTCAGAAGACACAGCAAAGAGGAGGATTGGTACTCCCTCTACCCTCATCAGGAACTAGAGATGATAGAAGAGTCTGAATGAAACTATGAAATATTTTTTAAATGATGAAAGAAGTATATCAGCTTTCCACTTTCCAGTCAAGACAAGTGGGATCCCATTGCTCAATCTTCTAGAAATACCAGTGTGAGATACTAGTACTGATAGACATCAACAGTAATATTACTTAGAGTTAATACTAAACATTCCTCAGTAGTTTAAATACCAACATACCATGCCCGTTTGCCAGTTCACTACCTACCTTGTTGCCACAATAGTTGACTGCCTCTTTTTTCTGCAAAGGGAGTAAGGATTTAGGGTGTAGATAAGTGAGTCACAATGTAACTTGGCTCAGACTAGAAGAATAAAACAAGGATTACTATGCAGATGGAACTGGCTTTCCCGTGATGAGAATAATGTATTAGGGGGCTTTTCCATCACAGGATCCTGAAGTAACTAACTCAAATCTACATCTGTTCCCTTTTCATTGAAATCTAACCTCCCTTTGTCACATGGCCTTGAGACTAATTTTTGAGGACAGTCAACATGCTACATGCAAGAATGCTTTACTTCAGAAATAGGAAAGGGAATTTGGGTCACAGAAACCAGGGCAAATTTCCACCTTTTAAAGAAAAATTAAACAAATAAATGCATGTCAGTTTACTTACCTTTTCCCATTTTGCTAAATCCCAAATAAGAACTCTCGTAAGAGAAGTTGGATCTTAGTCCAGCCCGATCCTTCAAAAGCATTGATTATGGTATTAGGACTAGCAAGGTTTAGTTTTCACAAACCTGATGTTATAAAAAGCAAACTTAAAAATTTTTCATCTGTTTTCAACTATTGATTCTCCCAATTTTCCCCATGGATTCTCTTCCTTCAGGGATGTTATAATTGTGGCTCATTTTCTCTTTAATTTGCATTTCCTGATGGAGAAGTTAGGAAAAACTTGAAAAGAGAAAAACTTTTTCCCCCATGAGCAGCTCTATTTAATGTCTGATGGTGGAAGTTGAAATAATAGGTAGCTTAAAATGGGTAGATTACTTTTGATTTCAGGTTCCAGTCTGCCCTGTCCCCATATGAACAAGAAGAATCAATATTTAACTACAACAAAAGAATGGTCTACCCATTTTTCCCAATATACTTCCTCAGACTTGATATCTGGCAAGATCCAGATAAAGCCATGTAAAGATTGATCTAGCACTTAAACATTGTATTTGCATAATGTTTAGATTTAAGAGCTCATGTAGGAAAATTAGTACTTTTCTAGTACTCTAGACCATAAATCAGGGAAGAAAAGATGGTTGAGGCTTGAGCAAATGAAAAATTTAAATGCCCTCTGGGTTTTAGCTACTTTGGCTAATTTGATATCAATGTGTAGAACATATAAATCTAACCCAGCTTCCAGAACTGTAATACAACACTCATTACAAAAACTTTTCATTGAAATGCTCATTAAACTACTTATTGGATTATAGTCTGTTTGAAACACTATTTAAAGGTTAAAAAGATCAGAGTGTGGGGCCGGCCCGGTGGCGCACTGGATAGTGCGCCGCTTGGGAAGCGCGGCAGCGCT